GGGGGCTCGGGTAGCCAGGACTCCTGGGTCTATCCCCAGCTCGGGGGGAGGGGAAGTCTAGTGGTTAGAGCAGGGGGGCTGGGAGCCAGGACTCCTGGGTTCTATTCTAATCCAAAAAGTACTATGTCATGCAATAGTTTTAAGGTGTTTCAGGTACAACCACCACCAACCCAAACATGACAAAATTAGGGGTGGAGTGGGGGATGGGGCCATGGTTTGGGCTCTGGTGGCCCCCCCACTTCTAAGGAGCATCTGGTGTTCCTGATACAATATATCTGGTACAGCACGTGGCTGCAGTGACAAAGTGATAGGAACTGGTCACTTTGAACCTTTGGACGTGCCTTTCTATTCTCCAGCCTGAGGGACACGGGACCCCAGACTTTGCATTTCTCTTTAACTGCTAATTCAATTTATTCTTCCTTATTCACTTGAGTGAATATCACCCCTCACGCTGACCAGTGATCAAATTACGACTTTTAAAAAAACGTGGGTGGGTTGGGGGAATGCTTGTGCTGCGATCGTTAGAGCAAAAAGAGGAAAAATCTACCTACCGGGGCGTCCATAGCCGATTTCAAGTTCCAAGGCTCGTCTCAAGTTGATCCAACCGATTTGACTGACAAGAACTAAGCTGATCTGGGGAGGTTGTTGCCGCTGTTTTATACCTAGCAAACACACCTCCACGTTAATCCCTGATGGATTTAATCATTAACATGTTTATTACAATTACCTTCTGGACATGTGCAGTTAACAAGGTGATACCCTACCTGGAAATGAAAAGCCTTCAACCTTGCAGTTATTGAGCCAAAGGGTGTTACCACGTAAGCAACAAGCTCACTCCAGTAATTGTCCAAAATGTTGGCAGCGGGTGGCCCTCAGAGCCCACCCAGAATATCTTGAGGCCACAGTTGCTGCCTCAATTACATAAAGACATGATGTAAAGGAAACATTGTAGAGTGGGCCCATCTCAGAACTGGCTGCTCCCATACTCCAGGCAAGGAAGATGCTCTCTTGATGGGCAGTGACCTCAGTGAAACGGTGGATCACACTCCCTTAGATGGGACCCACCATCAGATAGAGGTACTAGGGGCTGATCATACCATGCACTGAGGAAGCTGTTCCAGTCAGACAGAGGGACTTCAGGATCTCAATAGGGAGCTGAGAAAAGGTTGCAAAGAAAAGGCCTGTGTTGCCAACTCTGTTTTTCTTAAAGCCCCAGCTCCTGGAGTCATGTGATCGTGGGAGAATCTCACTTTCCTCCCACTCCCTAACTAAAAACTACATTCCTAGCTGTCTGGGATGTGGAGAAGAAATTGAAAATGTGACCCCTAAAGGCTCAAAATCATGAAGGCAAATAAAAAGAACCCCAAATTTATTCTATTTTAAAACTTCCTGCTGGTAAGCCGATCTCATGACATTTTAGTTAGGTACAAGCTGAGATCACAGCGGGAAATTTTGCTAACTCAGTGAGGTGCCATGCCAAGGAGCGAAATAAACACACCCACCCACTACTCCGGGTCCCAGCCCAGGGACCCTGTAGATGGCCAGCACTTGCTGCGTCCATTCCGACTCCTCTGTAGATCTTTCTGGGCCACTTCCCCGCGGCCCCAGCACCCTCTTTGCCCTTGTCTCAGGGCCTCAGCCTGCAGATCCCTGCAGCCCACCAGGAGCTTCCTTTAGCTCCCCAGGTCTCTGCCTGCAGCACGGCTCTGTACAGAGTGCTTGTTGCCTTCAGCCTGCAAGGCGGCCAGGCCTCCCTCCTCAAGCTCCAGGGAGTGACTGCAACTGCCCTGTACTGCAGCTCTTCTTATATAGGCCAGCCGGGCCCTGATTGGCTGCTCCTTGCACCCCCTCTCTGATTGGATGCCTCCTGCGCAGCCTCTCTAGGGCTCTATTAACCCCTTATGGGCCAGTGTGGGGCAGACGCCCCATCACACACCAATACCACTACTGATGCGATATCACTAATGATATTTTAAGTGACACTTTAACAACGTGAACAACAAGAACAGACAAATGCTGCTCCCTGTGCCTGCAGTGAGACTGATTTCACATTTCGGTTGAAAAGTTGATGCTAGGTTGCAACGGGGGTGGTTCAAACAACAACAACAGGAAACTTAAAACAAAGAGCAAACCCATTTTGCAGAACAACCAGCATTTTTAATTGAAAGTTTCTGTCTAATTTTTTTAAAGGACATTTTTGAAAAAATGTAAACATTTTCACCAAAAATTCTGTTTTTCAAAAAAGGCGACATTTCTGACATTTTAAAAACTTGTTGAATGAAAAAACATTTTAAAAGCTTGTTTAACTGAAATGCTCCCAGTTCCACGTGCAGGGCCAGTTAGACAGGCAGAACTGCAGGGTCTCAATGCGTGGATGAGACGATGGTGTAGGGAGGAGGGGTTTAGATTCATTAGGAACTGGAGAAGCTTTTGGGAAAGGGGGAGCCTATACAGGAAGGATGGGCTCCACCTAAACCAAAACGGAACCAGATTGATGGCATTTAAAATTAAAAAGGTCATAGAACAGTTTTTAAACTAAGGGCTGGGGGAGAGCTGACAGGTGCGGAGCAGCATGTGGTTCGGACATCCCTTATGGGAGGATCTATAACTGGAGATTCCCTATGTCCTAATAAGGAGGAGAGGATGGAAAATGATAAAATACAGGGAGGATCTGATGAGAAACAGTCACATGAAAATAAGTCCCATTCAATTATGTCATGCAATAGGGGACAGCCAAAAAATGACAAGTTTTTAAAATGCTTATATACCAATGCTAGAAATCTAAATAATAAGATGGGTGAACTAGAGTGCCTCGTATTAAATGAAGATATTGATGTAATGGGCATCACAGAAAGCTGGTGGAATGAGGATAATCAATGGGACACAGTAATACCAGGGTACAAAATCTATCGGCAGGACAGAACAGGTCGTGCTGGTGGGGGAGGGGCACTATAGGTGAAAGAAAGCGTAGAATCAAATGAAGTAAAAATCTTAAATGAACTAAATTGTGCTATAGAATCTCTGTGGATAGAAATTCCATGCTTGGAAAATAAGAATATAGCCGTAGGGCATATCACAGACACCTGACCAGGATGGTGTTAGTGACTGTGAAATGCTCAGGGAGATTAGAGAGGCTATTAAAATAAAAAACTCAATAATAATAATGGGGAATTTCAACTATCCCCATATTGACTGGGTACGTGTCACCTCAGGACGGGATGCTGAGGTAAAGCTTCTTGACACCTTAAATGACAGTTTCTTGGAGCAGCTGGTCCTGGAATTCACAAGGGGAGAGGCAATGCTTGATTTAGTCCTAAGTGGAGCACAGGATCAGGTCCAAGAGGTGAATATAACTGGACCGCTTGGTAATAGTGACCATAATATAATTAAATTTAACATTCCTGTGCCAGGGAAAAGAGCACAGCGGCCCAACACTGCAGCATTTAATTTCAGAAAGGGGAACGACACAAAAATGAGGAGGTTAGTGAAACAGAAATTAAAGGGTACAACACCAGAAGTGAAATCCCTGCAAACTGCGTGGAAACTTTTTAAAGACACCATAATAGAGGCTCAATTTAAATGTACACCCCACATTAAAAAACATAGTAAGAGAACTAAAAAAGAGCCACCATGGCTAAACAACAAAGTAAGAGAAGCTGTGAGAGGCAAAAAGGCATCCTTTAGAAAGTGGAAGTTAAAGCCTAGTGAGGAAAATAGAAAGAAGCATAAACTCTGGCAAATGAAGTGTAAAAATATAATTAGAAAGACCAAAAAAGAATTTGAAGAACTGCTAGCCAAAGACTCCAAAAGTAATAGCAAATTTTTTTTAAATACACCAGAAGCAGAAAGCCTGCGAAACAACCAGTGGGGCCACTGGACGATCGAGATGCTAAAAGGAGCACTCACAGACAATAAGGCCATTGTGGAGAAACTAAATGAATTCTTTGCATCGGTCTTCACTGTTGAGGATGTGAAGGAGATTCCCAAACCTGAGCCATTCTTTTTGGGTGACAGATCTGAGGAACTGTCCCAAATTGAGGTGTCATTAGAGGAGGTTTTGGAACAAATTGATAAACTAAACAGTAATAAACCTCCAGTTCCTGATGGCATTCACCCAAGAGTTCTGAAGGAACTCAAATGTGAAATTGCAGGACTACTAACTGTCATCTGTAACCTATCATTTAAATCAGCTTCTGTACCAAATGACTGGAGGATAGCTAATGAGATGCCAATTTTTAAAAAGGGCTCTAGAGGTGATCCTGGAAACTACAGGCCAGTAAGCCTCACCTCAGTACTGGGCAAATTGGTTGAAACTATCG